AGCATTTTGAAAACCCTAACTTAACTCTGGTGCCGTGTCACATATAGAAATTTTTTGATATTTGCAACCATAGTAAAATAAAGATTTACATTTTTGATATTTATTTTATATATTTAACTGCCATTTAACAAAGAAAAATCAACCAAAAAAAAATGAGTTCACGTGTCATAGGTTCGCCATCACGGGGCTATATCAAACTAAAAAAGCTTTTGCACAGCAAAAGAAACTGACAACAAAACAAAGAGGCAGATGATATTTGCAAACTGTAGCTTTGACAACAGTTTAATTTCCAAATTATATAAAGCACTCATAAAACTCAACACTGAATAAAAAACCCAATCAAAAAGTGGGCAGAGGCTTTTCCGGGCTACCCAGGGAGGGCTCCATAGGGCGTTGTTCTCTGTTCCCACGTAACTTAAAGGGAAACTTTTCACAATGTCCGGAGCCCTTGATGTCCTGCAAATGAAGGAGGAGGATGTCCTCAAGTTCCTTGCAGCAGGAACCCACTTAGGAGGCACCAACCTTGACTTCCAAATGGAACAGTACATCTACAAAAGGAAAAGTGATGGATCCACATCATCAATCTCAATAGAACCTGGGAGAAGCTTCTGCTGGCAGCTCGTGCCATTGTTGCCATCGAAAACCCAGCTGACGTCAGTGTCATATCGTCCAGGAATACTGGCCAGCGAGCTGGGCTGGAAGAAGAGCAGGCTGCTGCTGAGAAGGCTGTGACCAAGGAGGAATTTCAGGGTGAATGGACTGCTCCTGCCCCTGAGTTCACTGCTGCTCAGCCTGAAGTTACAGACTGGTCTGAAGGCGTGCAGGTGCCCTCTGTACCCATTCAGCAGTTTCCTACTGAAGACTGGAGTGCTCAGCCTGCCACTGAAGACTGGTCTGCAGCCCCCACTGCTCAGCCTACTGAATGGGTAGGAATAACCACTGAGTGGTCCTAAGCTGTTCTTCCACAAATTCTTAAGAGAACGGAAATAAGGTTGATGGAAAATAAACAGTTTCTAAAAAAAAAAAGTGGGCAGAGGATTTGAAAATGTACCTCTTCCAAGAATATATACAAACAGACAATCCTATATAATAAAAGGCCAGAGGCGTCACAACCAGAACAACCAGAGACCAGACCACCACGGCTCCTTGCAGGGTTGGCTCCACCCCAAGCAAACAGTTAGAGGCAATTAGGCAGGCAGGCAGAGTGTTTAGGAGTGATCAGGTAGGCAGGTAAGTGGTTAGGGGCAATTAGGCAGGCAGGCAGAGTGGTTAAGGATAATCAGGTAGGCAGACCAGTGGTTAGGGGTGATCAGGTAGGGAGGCAAGTGGTTAGGGGAGATCAGGTAGGCAGACAGCCCCTCGCTGGGCTGGCCCCAACCCCAAGCAAGCAGTTAGGGGCAATCAGGCAAGTAGGCAGAGTGGTTAGGGATAATCAGGTAGGCAGACCACGTAGGCAGGCAAGTAGTTAGGGGTGATCAGGTAGGCAGGCAGGTAGTTAGGGTGATCAGCTAGGCAGGTAAGTAGTTAGGGGCGATCAGGTAGGCAGACAGCCCCTCGCAGGGCTGGCCTCACCCCCCAGTAAGGAGGCCCAGGCCAGCCAAGCCATTGCATCCCAGCCTGTCACTTGCAGAGGGAGGCCACTGGTGGAAGGGGAGTAGGGGGGTAGTGCTCCACAGATGGCAAGCAGTGACAGTGGCAGGGGTAGAGCCAGCTGCCTGCAGCCGGGGAAAGGAAAACCCCAATAGGCCCTGATCTCAGGCCAGGCCTAGGGACCCTACCTGAGGGGTGCCGGATTGTGAGAGGGTGCAGGCCAGGTGGAAAGATGCCCCTCACCACCACCAGTGCATGAATTTTTGTGCACCGGACCTCTAGTAGATATATGAAAAGATGTTCAACCTCACTGGCATTTAGTGAAATACAAATCAAAACTACAATGAGATACCACCTTACACCTGTTAGAGTGGCCATTATCAATAAGAAACAATAACAAGACTTGGAGAGGTTGTGGAGAAAAGAGAAACATTATTTACTGCTGGTGGGAATATAGACTGGTACAACCACGATGGAAAACAGCCTGGTGATTCCTCAAAAAATTAAGAATAGAGCTACCATATGTTCCAGCAATCCCTCTCCAGAATATATACTGGAAAAACTCAAAATCATGTACTCTCCCAGAAAAACCTGAAATTATGTACTTGCAAAGATATATGAACCCCTATATTCATTGCGACATTATTCATGGTGGCCAAAACATGAAAACAACCAAAGTGACTCACAGTAGAGGACTGGATAAAGAAGATGTGGTACATATACACAATGGAATGCTACTTAGCCATAAGAAAGAATGATATATTGTCATTTGCAACAACATGGATAGATTTTGAGAACATTATGCTAAGTGAAATAAGTCAGTCAGAGAATGCTAAGAACTATATGATTTCACTCATATGTAGGATATAAAACTGAAACTCATAAACACAAATAGCAGTGTGGTGATTGCCAGAGGGAAGTGGGGCGGGGAGAGAAGAAGGTCCTAATATAGGTGACAGAAGATTTGGCTTTGGGTGGTAAGGGCACACAGTACAACATACTCATATTGTAACATAGAAACCCACACCTGAAACATATATGTTCATGTTAACAAATGTTACCCCAATATATTTAATTTTAAAAAATAAAAAAATTAGATATTTCATATATCTGATATGCAGGTCCTAAAAAGTAGGACTATCTGAGTGAAGATGAAATGGGGGCTGTGCAAATCCTGTTATATTCATGGCTGGAAGGTTATAAACCGTATGGGTCAGTTAAGATGCTTCCAATAAAAAAGAATATATACAACTTAAACTGTATTGTAAAATAAAGGGAATTTACCACCCTGCATAGGGAAAAGTCCAAAAGTGAGTAAGCTTCAGGCACAGATTGATCAAGGCTCCCTTTGTGATTTATTCATTTGGCCCCATTCCATGAGCTGGCTTTATTCGTATCCTGGCTTACCTCAGGGTTACACTTAGACTAACAGCATCAGCCAAGGCTGAGGATCTCAGAAAAAATAATGGAACATTACAGGGAGAGTGAGGAGTATGGAGCAGGGGGATCCCAGTGTTCTGCCCTCCTCCTTTCATTTAATCTTTCTCATTGCTTCCCGTGGCAGGAACTAACAAAACCTAGAGGGTAAGGGAGCCTAAAACTAGCTCCTACAGGGCAGATGAAGGAAATGATTGGGAAATGGATCTTAAGGCAAACAGGCAGTGACTGGCACAGGCCCAAGAGATACGGAGTGGCCAAAATGGGAGTTGAAATGGAGCAAGGTAGACAATGGTTCTCCCAGCACACAGAGCCTAAGGAGCTCATCTCACCACCAGTTCATGGAGGGCTTGTCCTCCTGGACCACAGGATGTGGTGGCTGCCATGTATCAGTGACACAAAGGGTGCTATTAAAAGTGGTATGCTGCTCTGAGTGGGAGTTTGCCTCTCAGCAATCCAGTTCTCTGCCACTGTACAGTGAGTTGAGGGAGGGGGTGGCTGAATGTCTCATCTAGCCACAGCTTGGTGTGAATGAGAGGAATTCGCTTCACGTGAAGAGTCTGGATGCTGGGAGCTTGCTGCAGTTCTAAGTCAGGATTTGGGGATGACTTTTGGAAGAGGGCAAGAACACTTAGATTACGTAAGCAATAGTTGTATTATATTAAGGAAAATAGATATGGAAAGGAGGGTGTGAGCTAGCCAGTCAGGCACTGGACTGTAGTTACTATTGTGGTTACTTTGGGCGGCTGGCACTTTTCCCTCCCTCCTTCTGTAAGCAGGTGCTCCAGAGCTTGGGCAGGAACCCCACATTGTAAGAAACTTGGCTTGGACAAGTGCTTTGCATAGCACCTACTGGCCCAACCTTCAGCTTCTTGGGAGCTAGGATTACAGAGTGTGCCTGTGTACCAGACAGCCAAGTGGCTGAATAATGAAGCAGACAGCTGTGGTTGTTCTCTGTCCATCCTCCCTTCCTTTGGGAAATTAATCTCTTCCCTCCATGTCTAAAGCACAGGTGCTCATAACCTGACACCTGAAGAGTCTATGTCACCTAAGCTAGGCCAATCAGATACTCTCTCCCAGGAATTTGAACTGGGGACAGCTATCACAGGGCTAGCAAACAGCGGAAGGTGTTCCCAGCTGGTATCTCCAGCTGCTGTCCTTCCTGAGACGGCTCTTCATGCTGTCACCTTCCGTAGTCTTCCTACAAACCTTTTTATACTCAATTGAGAGGAGATTTTTCTGTTCCTAATAACCAAAATATCCTTCCTGGAACAAGAGTCAACATGATTTAAAAATTTAGCAATCACCAGAGTTTAAGAACTAAAATTAGATCTCTCTCGCTAAGCTTATTTGGGGCAGAGATAATGCAAATTCACATACATTGCCAAGGTTCTGGGACAGACTATATCATACAGAAGTCCATGGACCACATGCGCCCTTAAAAAAAAATAGAAAAATAGCCCTGGCTGGTTTGGCTCAGTGGAAAGAGCATCAACCTACGGACTGAAGAGTCTGGGTTCAATTCTGGTCAGGGGCACATACCTTGGTTGAGGAATCGATCTTCAGCCCTGGTCCAGATACATGTGGAAGGCAACCAATCAAAGTCTCTCTCTCACATTGATGTTTCTCTCTATAAATCTCTCCCCCTCTTTTCCAGTCTCTAAAAAAAAAAAAAGAAGAAGAAAAATAAAAATAGGGAGATCTAAGGAAGATCTTCATTATAAGTATTTTCTTAGAAGATATGGTTTCAAAGTAAGTCATGAATTTTCTATTTTATTTAACTAAAAAGTAGAAAATAATATACTAAGGGTGCTTCTTCAGGACAAACTTACATTCTTCACTTCTGCTAGCTGATTTTTATAAAAAGGATAATGTTTATCCTTATGTTTATTAGTGGTATATGTACTTACTATTAATTTAGGAATAATTTGCTGAAGGATGTCTTCTGAACATACACAGAGGCATACAAATGCAGTCCTAAACACTATGTTTACAAATAGTTTATTCTTATTTAATACATATGTTTTTCAGCAAAAAAAAATTAATAGTTGTACAGAATTTTATATTCAAGACCGTAGGGGACAAATATCTCACACAACCAAAACCATAGCCAACTACAGAACAGAAATTAATCAAAATTTTGTTCAGCTACATGCACAGAACTGGCCAAATTTATAGATTCTTTTTCTTAACTTAGCAGGTAATGTGGAGTTATGAACAAGCAATGCTTGGCAGAATATACTAATACTTTGAAACCACATCGCAGTCCCTGTGTGGAAATTTACACATCCTGAGAAAATCCCTCTAGCTCACTAAATAGAGCTGTTTAGGATGTGTATGATGGCTGGAGTCAGGGTAGCCTAAGAATTAATCTAGCAAGCAGTGGAAAAAATGTTTCTTTCTTCCTTTATTCCTGCATTATCCTTTATTCTCTTTTCCCTCCATTATCAACATTAAATGAATTAAAAAGTAAAAGTAAAAAATTAACCTGACACAAGGATATTTGGTCACTGTTAAATCTTCTGTCTGCCTCTGAGCTGGTTTGAAAAGGCCAAAATGGAATCCTTTTAGAAACCTTTTGTCTTCAAGGCTGAGTTTGTAGAAAGCGAAGGCCTCAAGGTGGTGGCATGGTCTGGGGAAGGATGAAATGAAGAGTTCAGAGCAACTGGATGCTTTCTGCAGAGAGAAGAGTAGCCAAGGAACCCTCCCCCTGCCCTGATCTGTGTGGTGATGGCATGAGGCTTTATTCTCCTTTTCACTCTAAGAAATAAGGAGCAGGGTGTGCGGGGTTGTGCATTTTTCTGATTATGTTATTCACAATAGTTGTAAACTCATCAAAGTGATCTGTGCCTCATCCTTTTATTGCCTTGATACTTAGCTGCTTAGAATAATTTTTCTCAAAGCCTCCGGAGCAGAAAACTAGCCTGGAGGAAAAGTAGACCTTCTGCTAAGCTTTGCTAGGAAAATGAATTTAATGACGTTTCTGTCAAGAATTTTTAAAATATTTTTAAATTTAGCCTTGTTACACACTTATAACTTATCTGACAGTTTTCTTCTCTTTTAAAAAAATGTTTTTTAATTTGTGATTAAACTATATACATTATTTACATTTTAAAGACCTACTAGGTCTTTATCATTAAGGTAAGAGCTCCAGGTGATTAAACTCCCAGGACACAGATGAGACTTTCCAAAGGGCACCATTCTCATCTATGCGCTAAGGCCTGTTTTTTACAAACTCATTACTATTATAAACTTTTAAAATATAAAATTAGAATACTTCTCTATTTTTTTTCTTTTTATGTTTTTGCATCCAGCATATGAAAAACAGATCATGCTTCCTAACTAGAGATGAAACTAAAAGAAAAAATGAAATTAATGTGTCCCCATACTCTTTTCATCTAGAAGCAAAGATTTATTTACATGGTGTCAGTTTTCAATGTTGTGGTGAGCCATGAGGGGCAGGGCCCTCTCCATAGCATGGTTAAATAACCAATGAAGACCCCTCCACTCTTACTGGAGTGTTTATTGCATATTTTAGGCATGAGTTGGAAGGCATGAGAAAGGTGGCCTGCAACTTTTACACATTCAAGAAATTTTCCTTAAGAAATGTCATGTTCAGAATAGTTTCCAGAAATGGTTCAAGAACAAAACATGTTAAAGTTCATGCATTACATTTAGAAGCACAATCTATTGGGAGAACAATTTCAAAAGCTCAACAAAGGCTGTTTTTTTCATTGAGTTGTATAGAAAATAAGTGAGCATTCTGTTGTATAGGTATGTGTTCAGAGCTTTCAAAAGTCACATCCTGTCACAATTAACAGCCAACTGAGGATTCTTGGCCCCTGACCTATAAATACACATTGTAATTCTGCAACTTGCTCACAGATTCTTATTAACCTTTTCTAAAACAAAAAAGCCTACAAACTAGTTAGAAGTCTGCAAACCAGAAATGTAATACATTTTGTCCTTTTTTAACAACAAAATTTTATATTAACTTTTTGGAAAAGTGACTCAGAAGAACTGACCCCCATTTTCATATTTTAAAAATAGTTATTCATAACACTGAAGAAATAAAATCTTCAATAGGAAGGCATGCTGCCTTTCACAAAGGAATACAGTAATTCTCAGCTTCAGCCAATGAACGCTTCCTTTTCCATCTTAGCCTGGCTCATTCGCTTTTTGTTAAACAATATATGACAGAATATTGGCAACCTTTCAAGAAAATGATTCAAAAGTCAATTTACGAGAAAAGGAAACCACGAAGAACCAAGATGGCGGCATAGGTTAACGCCGGAGTTTGCCGCCTCGAACAACCATTTCAAAAGTGAAACTAAAAGACGGAAGGGACATCACCCAGACCCACAGGAACGTTGGCTGAGTGGAAG